TCAATCAATTTTAAAACGGTAGCTAATTTTCAATCAACAGTCATAAAAGTGGCTAATTGCCAAAATCGTCCCTAGCCTTATATGCTTCTAGGCCAAAATAAATTGGAAATTTATAGGCCAATTCAAAAGAGTAAGGAATTTTTACCTTCCTATACTACATATGAAATTTTATTACCCTCCTTAATCAAGTTTTAATTTAATTATATAGCATATACAATTTACCGAATATATACAAAATAATTTTAAATGAGTATCCCATTATATTAAGAATTGAATAAGGAATTAGTTATTTTTCATCCATGTTCTCTCTCTCATGCTCCCTCTCTTTCTCTTCGTCTCTCTCTCTCTCTCTCTCTTTGTCTCATTCTCTGTTCTTTCCCTAATTTTTCTTCCTTTGATGTTCTCTACTTTTTATCCCTTCATGTTGTATATATTTTTAATGGAATTCATCAATGAATTTCAATCGTTTTACTATAGAGTTTTAACTTAGCAATTTTCTTTCATATTGCACAATTGGTGTTAAAATTGAAATGGTCAATCAATAAATTTTGAAGGTGTTTGATTCTTCACCATTGACAGCCATTAAAAAGCTTTGAATTCAAATTTGGATTTGAAAACCCATTATTTATTTGGATTGGGTGTTGTTGCAAATAATTGGAGATATTGTTTGGAGTTTATATCTCAACTTTGAGGGTGTTTGGTGAAGATTAGACTTGATTTTGGCTAAATTTCAGATTTAAACTCGAAGAAAAAGAAGAACACGTGACATACAATATACTTACAAAATTATATTAAAGTTGTATTATAATTGTATGTAAATTATATTCTGTTGTAGTTATATATTTTTTTAATTTGAATGTTGTATGAAAGTTAAAAAATAATTGTATAATGTATGAATCGTTGTATGAAATTTATATTTAAGTTATAAATACTATCTTTTTACATAAAGTTGTTAATATGTATCGAAATTGTATTAAAAGAGAAAATTTTGATTGAAATTTCAGAGAGGAAGAAGAACACACAACATACAAAATATATACAATTCTTTTACAAATACATACAGAAGATATATTGTATAAAATTTATATGAAAATTGTATTTAAATTGTATGATATTGTAGTTGTATTTAACTGGGTAAAAATTATGTATGAAAGTTGTAGATAAGTTATAACTAAGTTGTATATTATATAATTAGTTGTATAAAAAAAATTAATTTATATATAGTTGTAGATGTATCAAATTTATATCAAATTTGTACGAAATTTATTTTTAATTTGTATGATGATGTACCATACAAATTTATCATTGTCAAGTTTATATTGTTGTTATTGCTGGTACTACATCGACAGAGATGGAGGCGTTGAACATTTTACTTAAATTTCGAGTTTGTCTTTGAGCAAAAATTTAAAATCTCTTTCAGAAACTAAAGAGCAATTATACTTTTAAGAAAATTTATACTAGATGCGTGCAATTAAATAAAGGGAATAGGAGAAGAGAGAAAAAAGGAAAAGAGTGTACCTAAAGTCCCAAATTTAAGGCACTAATAGTGGATAGTACATGGAGAGAGGCGGCAGAAAATAGGGAAAGAGAAGAGGAGAAAAAAAATGAAAGGGTGTAACTTAATCACCTAATTTAAGGCACTAATAATGGATTATATATAAATTATAAGCAAGCCTTATTTAGGGCGGGTAATTTCTAAAACTAGGACAATTTTGATAATATGATTTCATATAGTGTATAGGAAAGAAAAAAACTCAAAGAGTAATCGTTCCTTGAAATTTCTGGGCAATTGCTTTTCTCTTCTATTTTTGTTCTCAATCAAATAAACAAGCTACTATTTTTGATCGTTCAAAATAATAAGTTAAAGAATAAAATAAAGGAAATTTTACCTCCTATAGCAAAGGTATACACCCTATTATTGTAAACAAAAATTATTTTAAAATATTATTTTCTATAGCAACCTTTTATATTTTATAGTAAAATAGGTATTTATGGTATATACTACAAGTGAGGCATGAAATACGCTATTTATGATTTTCCTCTCTCTTTCTTTCAATTAACACACGATTCTCTCTCAAATTTTTTCTTCTTTCTCGCTCTCTCTTCCTTTTCTCTCTTCTGAGATAATATGCTGCGTTTCACTCTCTTCAAATCTGTTGTTATCTAATGTGCAACTACATGGAAGACATTCTTATGGAAGCTACATATTGGAGTTTCTCCCTTTTCCCTACCTTCTCCAGCTATTTTATGCCTTGAAACTTCTTCGGATGAGATAATTTGTAACAGAGAGTTTCTTTTGCTGTTTGATTATTGCAAATGGCATCTTACATATTTCTTTTTAATCAATGTGGTCTCTCTCTTCTTTCTCGTCGCTCTGAGGCTAGGCCACTGCGCGGGGAGCAAAATTGATGTCGGAATAATCCGAGTAGAGCATGGGTACGGTAACATGAGCGCCGGAGAAGATTTGAGGGCTGGGTTTTTTTGTTCGTCTCCATTTTTAGTTTTAAGTATACAATATTTTGCTTGGCCGGAAAACACCATCTCCGGCGAACTTTCTTCTCTTCTTTGTTATTTAGTCACATATGATGATACAAATACATTGTATTATGTACAAATTCACTCAAATACATTGTATTTTTATATAAATATATAATTATTTGCCTGTATTTATGTATTTCGAAGGTTTCTATTTTTTTTAATACAACTGAATATACATGTATTCATGCATGAATACAGGATATAAATATTGAAATACACTGAATACAAACATTAAAATAGAACATAATATAAACAGAAATACATTTAATTTCAAATACAGTGAAATACAGTAAAATACATTGAATACAAATAGAATTACAGTGAATACAACCAATGAAATATACTGAATACAACAGTAATAACATGTATTAGGAATAACTAAAATTCCGTTAATACAAATACATCCTAATACACTGAAAATAAAATAGCGAATACACTAAATACAAATGTTGAATTTAATGAATGCAACAGTAAATATAAAATAATAAAACATACTAAATACAAAAGTTAAATACAACAGTTATATACAAATGAAAAATCATTCTAATTAATTGGGTTGATAATGAGGAATGTTAGAATTGATTTTGTTGAGTTATATTAGGAATGTACCACGCTAATTGATATTATTTCCGTTATTAGACAGTTGAACATACGTATTTTTAAGGTGATTGTCGTTACTGTATTCATGAATACATGGCGCGAATACATATGAATATATACGCGTACAGTTGGACTGCCCTAATTTTAGGCGTTTTTTGCTGTTGTATTCATGAATACAGCAGCGCGAATACAACGAATACATTACCGTAATAACTGAATAGTAGCTATAGGAAGTAATTATGTATATGGTAGTTATAGGAAGTTAATAGCCACTAAACAATAGTAGTTTCTGAAAATGCCTCTAAAATAAACAATAGAATTAATACTCAAAGGCCAATTTTTGAAAATAGCTAATTTAACTTAATTACATTTAAATTCCAAACTATTGCTGCTTCAATTGCAAGACTTACATTTGGAGATTAAACAACATAGTAGGCTTCTTAATTTTTCCATTGAACACAAGAATTTAAGAAAAAATCAATATTTTCTTTTAGTTTTCTCAAACTGCTTGTCAAGAGAAATTCAAATAATTTTTGTTTGACCAATAAATATATTCCACAACTTCATCATACTTATGAGTGACTGTGATCTTACAGTTTATAATTTCAAACTTGCAATAAGGCTATGTTAGATTGAAGTTCANATATATATATATATATATAAAATATGCTTTTTTTCACCGGGCTTGGACTATCTCCCGAACAATCTTATACATATGACGCAAGACGATTCCACATATCGAGGTCGGAATGGGAACGAGTGTTTTTACGTCTTACTGTAGTGTCCAGTTTGTCTTAATTTTCGATTGATGAACAAGAAGGAAGATGCCCTGGGGTCTTTTGTTTCCAAAGAATGTGGATTCGGCATTTTGATTTTCACATTGATCTCAACCATGCTCGGAAAATCCTTCTCAAATCTTCTCCGGGAAGATTGACTCGACAAATAAAGCACTGAATTGGCGAAAAGTTTTGTGAAGGTAGAGAGAGATTTTCAAATCAGACTTCAAGTTTGTGTGCCACGTGTTAAGAAGGCAGAGACCGTCCTAGGCTTCGCCCTAATTCCCATCTAAGGTTGAATAAGATTACCTGCATTTTGACATAATTTTGACATAACTTACCTACAATTATTGCACTTACCTACAATTAGTGCACTTATCCAAATTTTGACGTAACTTTACCTACATTTATTAGAGAAATTCTAAGCTTTGGAACTGTAATATCATTATGTTTGAAGTTAGAAAGTAACCAATATGTGAGACTAATTTGATGCATTATGCTACTACTGTTGCCAATTACAAAAGAAAAAAGTACCTGAGACTAATTTCATGACAATGTGATACAAGTCCTATTTTTCTTTAGTCGATAGTGGTAGAATCCGTATCAGTTTGAGCGCAAATATTGATTCTTCCAATGGTACTTATTACCCAACATTACCATATGTACCTAGTAACTCTGCTTACCAAAACTTAAACTTAAGCAGATGAAAATAAATCAGTAAATCACCTAGTATATTTTTGTCGTTGCTCAGCATACGAATCAAATAGGTGCAACGGTCCCCTGATACCAGAATGAGACTGAATAGTGAGCGATTCATTCACTGTCACTTAGAGCAAGTAGGATTAACCAAAATTTTCTTGAGGTAAAGAACTACCTTTGACTTGAGTTTGCACATGAAAATAAAGCCAAGGCCTTTCATCACCCCACAAAAAAAAAAAAAAAAAAAAAAAAAA